ATACAGATAGATTTATTTCAGGGAATTAGTTCACACGATTATGGAGGCTGCCAAGTCTAAAATCTTCAAGGTGGGCAGGCAAGCTGGAGATCCAAGGAAGAGCTGATGCTGCTGTTCAAGTCCAAAGGGCAACTGCTGCGGGATCCCTTTTGCTCAAGAGAAGGCAGTCTTTCATTCTAGTCAGGCCTTCAACTGATTGGATGAGGCCCAACCATATTATGGAGGATAATATGTTTTTTTTTCAAAATCTACCAATTTCAATATTACTCTCATCCAAAAAACACCACCACAGAAACACCTAGAATAATATTTAACCATATGTCTGGGCACTGTGGTCCAGCCAAGTTGACATTTAAAATTAGCCATATAGTCAAGAACAATCTTTCCTTATTGGGTCAATGTTTTCCATTGGTGGCTTGAACCTAGACCTAGAATTTCCTGAGGGAAATTACCTTGAAAACCTTCCCTTCTCTTCATTTATACATTTATCATGGGAGTTTCCTTCTTCATAAAGAATGACACAGTGGATTAGCAGGTCTCTCTGGCCCAAACATCTTCTCCCACTAGCATGAGGTGTAGGATTTCCTGCAGCCATCAAGATTGGCAGCTTGAATTAATCTCTCCCCATCTGGAAATAGCAGCTAACAGTATTTTCCTGCCTAATTCTCTAATGCCCATCTCTGAGATGCACAATGTTTTAGGAATCACTCTTTGAAGAAACTTATTCAGAATTTCTCCACCACTGATTCATTTGACAAATATGTATTGAACATTTACTACGTGGGTGGCCCTAGGTTGGGCTGGGAACACAAGGTTGAATTAAACAGATACAGATCTTACATATCAAAATCAGTTACATTAAACAAGCTTTTATTCTTTCTTCTGGCTTCCTAGATAACTGACCTAGTTTGGTCACAGGCAATTCTTTGCACTGATGCTGTATTTTTCCAGGAAGTTTGACAAAGGTAAAGACTAGCTGTGTCCCCAACACCTTGCTCTCAGCTTATACTGAAAGCCAGTCTCCCACATTTATTTTTAAATCCCTCCTGTGCAAGCAGACCCCAAACACTTTATGCAGCCTGTTTGTAGAGGTCTCCAGTAGCCTACCTTTCTATACTTTCAGGTGAACTACCAGCAGCATGAATGATTCCCTTCAAGCGAGATCCCATGTCCTGTTAGTAGGCATCAGGCCATTACAAAAAGCAAAGGCTGGACAGAAGGCTGGCAGGGGATCAAGCTCAAAGCCCCATCCCTCAGGGTTTAAGTTCCAGCTTCCACAAGACTCTTGCAGACTGTTCCTGGAAAGTGGGAGGAATTCTGAACTATTTTGGCTGATCTACATATCTTGGAGATCTTTAAATTCACCCATTCGAGCCCACTTTTAACAGCTACTGTACTAGTCAATAGGCCACGCCATTCCCCAGTAAAAACCCTCTGCTGATATTCAGTACATTAACAAGCATAGTGGTGGCTCGTTGATCTAGAACAGTTAACAGAAGAGCTTGCAGTAGTCCCTTCTGAAGTGTGGACTTCCTGACTTGAGCAACAGTGGGGGTACCATTCCTGGACTGTGCACTCCTTTTACTTTTTTTTTAAGATTTTATTTATTTATTTGAGAGAGAGTACGCATTAGCAGGGAGAGGGAGAAGCAGACTCCCCGCTGAGCAGGGAGCCCAATGCGAGACTCCAGCCCAGGACCCTGAGATCATGACCTGAGCAGAAGGCAGAGGTTTAACTGACTAAGCCAATATGCTTAACTGACTAAACCCCTTGACTGTGCACTTTTGATCAGGACCTTGGTATAGCAGAACCCACGTCACACACGTCCTTCTGAGGGCACACTGAAACATTTCTAGGTAAATAAACAGGCCTAACAAAACCAAACCCGAATTTCACAGTACTATATTTGCCTATGTCCTATATCCCCAGGAGTCCTCAAAATTGCTAAATTAGAATGTTAGAAACGTTAGATTAGAATTAGAATGTTAGAAATTACAACATTTCTCAGATAGAGTTTGAACGTAAAGACAATGAGGGGTGTTAGTGTTGTGATTCTAGGAGCACTAGTGGGAGAGCCAAGCTAAGCATCCAGGCAAAGCCTCACCTGGTGGTTCGTTTTGGGGAAATGAGTCGAGTCCTCCTGTGGAAGGTCTAAATACTGTATCTTATCAGTTCACTTAGGTCAGGATATAGGGAATACTCACGCTAACCAAAACCACACGTTCGCTGTCTACATTTAGTCCTTTTTGTGAATCCGTGTACCCGAGAATCTGAATTATCTTGTGGCCCTGGAAAAAAGAACAGAGCACTACATGGTCTTATGTAGGTAATTTATGGCAGTCTGATGAATGTTCTACTCCTCATGACAGTAAATCCCTCCGTGGTCTGATGAAATGGAGCCCTCAGTAGAGGTCTTTGTCTCATAAATTCTTATTATTTATGTCACTGATTCTAAGATCCACATCTTTATCATCTTTGGGTGAAATCTTAGATTGCATGAACTATGGTAATTGCCCTTTCCTTACTCTCCATCAGGCCTCTACCTTTCCCGAACCACTCACTGCCTATTGCAATGCATGCCTTGCAGACTTGCTAGGTTATGTTTCAAGTATGCAGATTGTCCACAGTCTGTTGACGAGACAGATTTCCTGAATTTCCCTCAGCAGCAGGGTCACAAATCTTCTCATAGGGGGACTCACTTCTGCAGATGGCAAAGCGCTACCATTTTCTTCACATTTTTTACTCATCTCCCTTTTAAACATCTGGACTAGCTCCACATAGAAGATATCCTCTACCGCAATGCTCAAGGACATTTGACAGCAAGATCCAAATTCCACATCAAGACTGCTCCTGCCCAGACTCCCACCGTGCCTCCCATCTTGGTTTTCGGCTTTAGCCACGTGACAAACACTTACTGATGGATTTTTACGAGAGTGGATATGTTATGTCATGGCAGCAAAATTTAAGACATGAAAATGCTCTAGTCTCAGGAGTTTTTCCATACAGGATTTAGTCGCATAATATTGTCCTGGCTAAAGACCTTGCTATTTCCTTTCCCAACCCTTTATTTAAGAACTTTGGTTATGGATGGAGCAGAACATAAAACAAGTTTACCTAACAGAGCCTGCACCACATAATCATAGATTACAGCTGGTGATAAAAGAAAAATAAGCACTTTACATATGATGACTCCAGAAAGAATTTAAATTACAAACCTAACCTCAAACCTCTTGGCTTTTATTGGACTATAGGACTGATAATATCCATCTGGAATATATAAATTACTATGTTCAGAGTCAGCACTTGACTCCTAATCAAATCCTCATGCTATTTAATCTGAGATGTTATCACTTTTAATAATTGGTAGGTGATCTTTTCAATATAAAAATACATTATATTTATACTTGTTTCAAAGGGGCAGTTGAATATTTTAAATTGTGCCATAAATCCTGTTAATTTAAAAAGTAAAAATTATTTTAGCTTATGAGACTTTCAACTTTTAAGAAATGGAAGACTTTAAATGGTGTATTCCTTAGTTGTGGTTTAGAAAGGAGGAACACACTCCTTGAAGGCCTGGTTAGTATTTGTCTTGTGTCTTACACGAGCTGTGTGCTTTTCCCCCATTATAGATTACTGCCAAGCACCCTGAGAAAAGTTCATTATCCAGTTTTTACTGGTGAGAAAAAAGAGGCTCTGAAATGTTAAATAACTTGCCCAATGTTCTAAAGCAACTAAATTTCAGGGGAGTCTTTCTTTCTTTAAATGTTTACTCCAGAGCTCATGAGCTTTCCACTAAAAACTGTCAATTAATTCATCATGGGATACAAAGAGCCTGGATTTAGTACAACAGATGGTTCGACAGTGCCCAACCCAGTTGTTATAGGCGAGAATATGATTTGAAATGAACAATTTCATAAGACAGAACACCTGAGAGGTAAGTGTAGGTAACTGACAACATGGGAAGTGTTACGTAGTTAATAGTTTCAACAACAGTCATGCTCATAACTTGGTCTCCTAGACACTGAAATCTGAAACTCTGTGATATGCTATAGCAAGGCTTCAAACAAAGAGGTTTTGTTCAGTTCATGTTTTTGTGGGATGGTGTAACTATGCAGTCTATATCAGTCAACAAAGGCAGCACAGAGCTGACCAATGACTCATGAAATCTTGGTGAGACCTCCCTCTTCAGTTTCAAAATATACATTTCCAACTGCATTAATGAAACAGCCAACAGCTTATCACCGTTTTTTTACTACCTTGGCCTGGTCCTAACCAAATTAGGTTTTTAATTTAACCTTGGAATTTATCTCTTTATTTTAAAAATTTTATATGCATTGTGGTAAGAAAAAAATCACTTAAGAAAAGATAATTTATTATAGATTCATACATTTCTCTCTTTTAAAATACTTTTTTGATTATATGGTAAAATTTCCCTCAAGAGACTTAGAAGTTAGGTTTTGAAAACAAAAATCTATGTGGAGTAAAAGTAACTTTTTCTTCTCTCTTCATCTTCTCAAAGGAAAACAGAACTTTACAGAAGATTATGTTGGTATTGGTTACATTTTTTTGTTTGTTTGTTTTGTTTGGGGCCTTCATTTTGTCTTTCAATATAAGAGTTATGTTAATGCTACAGTAACTTTCTTTTTATATTCTGAGCTTCCAATATCAAACTAACTTCATTTTCGCATGAGAGAAAATCTTCTTTCTTCCTGTAGGCCATATATTGAAGTAGAAATGGGGGTATACTTAGCCCTAAAACAGCAAATGCAGCAATGACATACCGATGATGTTAGAAAAGATACATGATACATAATTTGAACAACCGTTTCATTATTACGCAGTTTATTATTGTAGAAACTTTGTAAAGATAAATTCCACACTACCCTGTAGAGTTTTAAACTTAACGCCTGAGTTCTGACCTTCAATATTAAATAGAGATGTAGGCCGTTTAATCTCTGCAAAGATTTTTTTTTTTTTTTTTTTTTTTTTTTTTTTTGTCCATGAAGCATCTACGTCTGTGGTCAAGGGGCAGGTGTAGGCAATTCGCCAGGGCGCCCGCTTCCTTCTTAGTCTGGCATTGCTCTGGGGCGAAGGCTCATTATGTCCTAAGCATGGAAGGTTATAACCAGGGGGCGCTCCTCCTCCCCGAGGCTGCCCTCCAGCTAGGGGCGCAAGGCCGGGAAGACGAGGGTCCCGGCGCGGGGAGGGGTGCTCGCGTGCAAAGGGAGACGCTCAGGAACCCAGTGAGCGCTCGGGCCTGGCGGGAGGCTGAGCGCAGAAGCCCCAGAGAACACAAGGTGAGGAGAGCCTGGGGCAAGGAGGGACTTCGCAGGGGTGTCTAGACGAGTCCAGCTTTCTTGGGGACATTTCAGCGGCGGCCTGGCCCATGGGCGTCCGGGACAGAGAGCGCCTCGTCCGGCAGCGAGGAGGCCGGCGGGCCGTGGGAGCTGGCCACGTCCTGTCCGCAGCCGCCGCCCGCCGCGTCCTGCGCTCCGCCCGCCCCTCCCCCCGAGGTCGCCATGGCAACGGACGCCGGGTTCTGGACTCCCAAACTCCCGCGAGCCCGCAGCTGCGCGGGAGGTCCACGGCCCCAGCCGCCAGCCCCCGGCTTCGATGGAGAGCGAGGACGACACGCCCGAGACCCGGGAGTGCCGGAAGATCCTCGAAACCCTCGAGTCGACTATTGAACAATTCCGGTTCAGCCCCAGGTGACCCGAGACAGCCGCCGCGCCCCCCGCAGCGCCACCTCCCCTTCCTTCGGGTCCGCCCGCCCCCAGCGGCCCCGCGCGCCCCGCGCCCATTTCTCGCGACTCCCTCCCGCGCTCCAGGCCCGCAGGCCGGCTGGTTTGATTTCTTAAGTGTATTCACATAAACTGAGAACGGGGACTCTGGAGCCACAGTGCCTGGGTTCAAATCCTGCGACCCTCTCCAGGGCCCCTGAGTCGGGCGAGTGCCTTAAAAACTTCTGTCGCAGTTACCTCATGAGGAGACAGCCGTGAGGGCGGTGGACGGTGCTACTTCGTAGTTCAGAGAACCTGAAATGAGTGCATCCGTGTAACTTGTTTGCAAGAGCGCGATATGTATGTACACATAGTACCCTCTAGGTGTTGGCCAACATCACCTTCATCCATCCATCCATCCTTCCTTTCTCTTTCTTTCTTTCTTTCTTTCTTTCTTTCTTTCTTTCAGATTTTATTTATTTGACAGAGATCACAAGTAGGCAGAGAGGCAGGCAGAGAGAGAGGCGGAAGCAGGCTCCCCGCTGAGCAGAGAGCCTGATGTGGGGCTTGGGATCCCAGGACCTTGGGATCATGACCTGAGCCAAAGGCTTTAACCCACTGAGCCACCCAGGTGCCCCTTGATCCTTTCTTTACATTTCCTTGCTCTCATCATCCTTTGCTCCCCTCTGCCCACATTTGTCTGTTTGGATAATGTAGAGTTGATGGGTCTGGGAAAATGTGTTTTTCCTTCCAGAAACCTGTTAAAATCAGTAAGTGGCCAGCACTAGGTCAGCTACTGTGCAAGCACTTCAAATTCCCTAAGTCAAGGGCTCCATGGTGCCAGGTAGGCTGGCTTGGAGGCAAACCCGGCACCCTGAGGCTCCAGAGTGAGAAGAAAGGACCAGGGTGGTACTGGCCATGTGGTGGGGACTGACCCAGGGAGTCCGTGCTGCCCGCTCAGCGGAAGGGGGTGCGTTTGTGAAAATAGATCAGGGTAGACCTAGGATTGGTGGTTGTGGAAAGCACATTATTGGCAGCGGCCCATACTAACACCAGGGGCACAGTGTCTAACCTGTTCTGCTTGTTTGCTGATAGCAATGACTTCCTGCCTTGGATTCCTGGGCCTTGCCTGGTGTGGAGCTCAGCAGCAAAACACACCGGCTGCGCCCAGTGAACAGAATGAGGGTGCCAGGTGCTCAGTTAATGCGCAGTGCCTGAACAAAGGACCCACTGATGCCAGTGTTAATTTCTCTTCCCCCACAGTGCTACAGGGGGCTGTGCTAGTGTCTGGGAGGCGGGAGAGGCAGGAAGTGGGACTGCAGTCCTGGGTTTCAGGCAGAGTTTGGCACTGGGCAAGCAGCGATCTACAAACCCTCTGAAGGCCCGCCTTTGTCAAGTTTATATTCCAGTCAGGAAACCAATGATAAGCAAGCAAAGCATGTAATAAAGAAGTTAGTGGTACGTGCTAAGGAAGGAACAGCGGGGAGGGAGCAGAGGCACTGGTGTGCCGGGCAGGAAGTGGATTGTAATTTTAGATACTGTGGCCCAGGAAAGCTTCTCAGAGATGATGTTGGGGTGAGGACCTGCAGGCTTGACGGAGGAGCCATTCTGATGTATCAGGGAACGAAGTGTTCTAGCCAAAGAACAGGAAGCAGGAAGGGGTGGGCCCGGGTGTCGCAGGCCCAGCAAGAAGCCCCCTGTGGCTGGAGCCCAGGGAGAAGGGGACAGTAGAGGAGAGGTGAGAATTAAGGGGACCATGCCAGGCAATGTCACTGACTGGCTGTCCCACAGTTTAACTCAGTTCTGACACTCTGCTACCTAGAGATGGCGTCACATAGCACAGGTGAAGGGCCCAGCAAGGTGGCAATTGCAAGTCAAGGTTGTTACCTGTGCTTCTGACCTTTCGGCCTGAAGTGAAAGGTTCCTATAACCCCTGCTGTGTGTTCGGTTAATTTCCTAGAGCCACTCATAGAACTCAGAAAACCAATTTACCTACAGGTGACTTATTACAAAGAATATTAAAGGATACAAATGAAAGGTCAGATAAAGAGATTCTTAGGGTGCGGTCTTGAAGGGTCTGGAGCACAGAAGCTTCTGTCCCCATGGAGTTTGGAGTGTGGCACCCTCCTGGGTCCCGGATGTGTTCTGCTTCACCCACCAAGAAGCTCGATGAAACTTGTAGTTCAGAGATTTTTATGGAAGCTTCATTACATAGGCCAAATTGATGAAATCATTGGCTTTTGGTGACTGGGTCTAACCTCCTTCCCCTCCAGAGGTGGATGTAGAAGTGGGACTGACTGGTCCCACCCTCTAATTGTGGTTGGTTTCCCTGGCAACCAGACTCCATCCTTAGGGGCTTTCCAAAAGTGCCCCCATTTAACATGGACTCAGCCCTGGTTCAAAGGAGTATGTTATGAATTACAAAAGACCCACAGTTCACCTTTTTCCACAGAGACTATTTCAGGAACTGAGGACAAAATACCAAATATAATAAGAGATGATCCCATTGCTCAGGTCACTTAGGAAATTCTAAGATTCTTGGGAGCTTTGAGGCAGGAACTGTGGATGAAGACCAAAATATTTATTTCTTATTATAAATCATACTATCAAAGATGGGAAGCCATGAGGGGGGATTGTGCAGACAAATGATTTGATAGAATGAATCTTTCAACAGGATTACTCTGGCTGCCGTTTTGATAATAAGTTATAATGAAGATAAGGGCAGAAACAGGGACACCAGTTAGGAGATGGGATAGAAATAATTTTTGCTTTGCCCTTGTAGGTTCTTGGATGAGATCAACATCATTATAAAAGACAGATTAATAGGAGAAGAATAAAATAGAAGTTTAATAGCATGTATGCCTCTTGTAATCATAGGAGATAACCAGGAAAACAGAGTAACTCCCAAAATGGCCCAAGCCACCCCATTAAATACCATCACCTAAAGACAAAGGATGGGGATTGGGTTGAGGGTGAGTTATGGAAAGTTGCCAGGAAAAGCACAGTAAACAGAAGTAGGGCTGTTATGCAGATTTTAATTGGTGCCTTCTTTATTGATAAGATTCTCCTGTGATTTACTCATCCTTTTCTTCCTGGTATAGAGGGAGACACTTACAAATGGGGCTATCCTTCATTAATGTAAATTTCTCTTCCAAAGGAGTAACTTCTTATTTGCAGAACTTCTCCTGTGTCTGCAGTTCTCAAAATAATTAGCTCAAAATAATCCTTGTGCCAAAGAGGCATATTTTGGGGTGCCATATTCTGCTACCCTTCAAGTCGGATGTTCAAGAAGAGAGGTCCAGACTGGCTGTATCAGTTTGGGAGTGATTAGCACAAAGAAGGTTGTAGGGGTGGAGGGCTTGGTGAGATCACCTAGGAAGTGGGAGTGACAAAGAGACGTGTCTTCTTCGAAGAGGAAAAGAGGGAAGCAGTGTTTTCCTTATTTAAAATTGAACAGTACACCATAGCGAAAGTTTAGCACACCTAATATCATTTTCTCCGACTAATTCATTAATAAGCATTTGTTAGGATAGATTATTCTGGGATCCAGTGAGAAGTGTCATTGCATTCTATTAATAAATATTCATGGGTCTGTTTTCTGTGCTAAATTTACATGTTAATTTCCTATCTAGTTTATTCAAAAAACATAATTGTCATCTTTCCAAGACTGTATTTTATGCATAACAGCTAAGCCATTATTCAGAAATCGAATTGCCGGGACTATAAATAAGGCCTGTGTAGGAGCCACTTAGCTAATTTGTTGTGATGTGGGTTTCATTCTAGGCAAGGAGGTTGCCATTTAAAATCAGAGACATTTGGAATTTGACGGGAAACTGAAGAATGAACCTTCATGTCTCACTTAGATTCTGAATGAGCCAGATCTTTCTGAGTCAACTATACAAAATTTAAGACTCAAGGGAACTTAGAGCCATAAGCCTTTTCTCCCTAGGGATGGAGAATTGGGATCTGTTCCTTCAGGCTTATGATTTTAGAAGAGTTCTTTCCTCTCTTCAAACCTCGAGTTCTGTATCTTTGAAACAAGAAAGTCAGTCTCCCTCTTATGAGATTATTGGGAGGATGACCTGAAGGGAAAATGCGTGTATTAGTGCATATATCTTAACAAACCACATGGGACAAGTTAAGCACTCAATAAATAGTGCTTAATATAATTAACTCTGTAGGAGGTATCTATCACATTTTTGGATTTGATTTTAAAGCATTGTATTGTAGTGTTATAATATTAGGATACCATATTAGGAATAACTAAAAACATTATTCCAAGTTTTAAATCATATCCTGAAAATATATGTATTTGGGGTGGTTTTCTTACACTTGTAACTTATTTTTTTCCAGCTTTATTGATATGTAATTGACATGTAACATTATATATTCATAATAGCTACCCACATTCCCTAACCTTACTGCCCACAATAGATTTTTTGCTTAAAATGGAAAAGAAAGAACATACGTGTTCAAGCTTAAAGAAAGATGAAGTTGTATAGTTAAAAGGAGCTGCTTGGCATTGGGGAGGCTAAATGATTGCATTTGTAGACAAGGAGGATGAAGCGTGAGGTCTG